GGGTTGCCATTTCCTTCTCCAGGGGATCTTCCCAACCCAGGGATCAAACCCAGGTCTACCACATTGCAGGCAGACGCTTTACCATCTGAGCCACCAGGTTCACCCCTTTAAAGACCCTATCTCCAAATACAGTCACATTCTGAGGTGCTGGGAGTCAGGGCTTCAACATGAGATTTGGGGGAGACACAGTTCAGTCCCTGACAGCAACCTGTTAACAGTGATGAGCCAAGTTCCTGACTCATTTCCACGTGGGTCACGAGGGTCATATTTATATTTATCTGTTCATCCATTCTGAGAACCTCCTATGTACCAGGCATTGTGCCAGCTCCCAGTGGTACAGTCATGACACGCCTAGTGAGGCCTGAACACGTATATGGTTTATGTCCATGTAAGCAGCAGAGACATTACTTTGCCCACAAAGGTCCCTATAGTCAAAGCTATGGTTTTTCCAGTGGTCATGTATGGATGTGAGAGTTGAACCAAAAAGAAAGCTGAGCGCCGAAGCATTGATGCTTTTGAACTGCGGCATTGGAGAAGACTCTTGAGAGTCCCTTGGATTGCAAGGAGATCAAACCAGTCAATCCTAAAGGAAATCAACCCTGAATATTCATTGGAAGGACTGATGCTGAAGCTGAAACTCCAATACTCTGGCTCCCTGATGCAAAGAGCCAACTCATTGGAAAAGACTTCGATGCTGTGAAATATTGAGGGCAGCAGGAGGAGATGACAGAGGATGAGATGGTTGGATGGCATCACCAACTCAATGGACATGAATCTGAGTAATCTCCAGGAAATAGTGAAGGACAGGGAGGCTTGGAGGGATGCAGTGTCAGACACGACTTAGTGACAGAACAGTGATTCATTATCTCCCCCTAGTGGTATAAGAGAGTATCAGACAGATGATGTTAAACCTCCAACAGTTTACAGAAAATCCATGGGCATGGTCAGTGGTTTATTCCCATGCTGAGGTCATCTGCTACCCAAGTTTTCAAGATGGCAAGATGTTCCACAATTTCCAAAACTGAGGTTTAAACCCCAAAGCCTAGGCAATCACCTATGTTTAAAATAAACCTGAACTAGGTAGCATAGATTCTCCATGAAATGTCAGGGGAAAGTCCCCCTCTGATTATTTTGGGATTTGTAGCTTATAGAGTCAAAATCTCCCGTATTTAAAACTTCGTATGTGTGTGGTGTGTTCAGTCGCTCAGTCGTGTCTGACTCTTTGTGACCCCACGGACTGTTGCCCTCCAGGCTCCTCTGTCCATGGCAAGAATACTGGAGTGAGTTTCCATTTCCTTCTCCTCACCAGGGATCGAACTAGTGTCTCCTGCATAGGTAGGTGGATTCTCTACCACTGAGCCACCTGGGAGGCCATTGAAAACTTTGATTCTCTATAAATTCTCTTTTCTAAGTTGTGATAAGGAGCATCCAGCAATCATAGCAAAATGTAAGAAAAATGTAATTCCTTTTATCCCTCATGCTTAAAAATCCAAGTTCCACCAATCTGGGCCAGCGTGGCGTGGGGGTCAGGGTGGGTATCTACTAATAGGCACTCTTGCAAATTGTATATGTGGCTGCCAGCAATGAGACCAAATATGCCACCGTATTTGTGGCTTTGGTTACTGTTTCCTCATTCCCCATCCTCTCCGGCATCTTGAGAGAAGTGAAGAAACAGGAACTTTTAAATAGAGAGCTCAATCTGTTAGCAGCAGAGAAAAATACTTATGGACCCTTGTTCTCTCAATCTGAAAGTCTTCTTGGTACCTGTCCTTCATTTCATATCAGCAAATCCCAACAAGCAAACTGGTGGGAAGAGGATGAAGCACACCTGGGCCCCTCAGCCCGACTTCTTCCTAGACTTGGTACCCACCCTGGCCTCACCCCGGCTCCTCCCTGCAAGGACCTCACAGGTTCAGCAGAGGCGCCAATGCTGCTGGAGGGGTGAACAGCCTCCTTCCACCCCAAGGATGCGGACACGAGAAAGGGCCACAGTGTTTGCAGGAGGAGCCAAAGAGGTGATGAGGAGTGGATGCGCCAGGGAGCAGATAAGAAGGATGGAGGGCTAGGTGATAGGGATTGTCTATGGCCCAGTCCTCTTCAGAGGGGCAGCTCTGATCTGGTGCCCACGGCGAGAAAATGCTATAAATGCAAAACTCCCTCCTCCTCTGACTACTCAGAGGAGAGCGAGGGGGAGGGAGAGAGACATGCACACACGTACCCTGGATTATTCTACAAAGGTTATTTTATTTTAGCAAACAAAATACTGGTTCTTCTAAAAGCATATAAAAATTCACATCATATTCAGTTAGGTTAGAGGCTGCGAGTTTGTCTTCTGACATATTGTTCAATAATTAAGACTTTCTTCTCAGCTGGAGTCCACTCGAGCTGACATTTACACCATGAAATCTAGAAAGGAAGACCAAAGGGATGAGGATGAACTGTCTGGCAGAATAACTGTGAATGTTTTACTTGCTCAGCATCTACCTTTATGCTCAGCCATTTAAACTGAAACAGAAATCGCGGAAGCTTGTCTATTGATGGATTTATTTTTAGAATCACAATTTCCTTTCATCTAAAAATCCCTTCGGTTTAAAATAAGGCTCCGGGCTACGCGTTGATAAGCCCCAGCCTGGGCGGGAACTGGAGCCCCCTGGTCAGTTCTGGGCTCAGGAGGGCAACCCAGGCATCTCTCCGTCACACTGGGCTGCCATGGACGTTTGGGGAAGGGAAGAAGTGTCTGTGATCTCACACCTAATCTCTGCTTCCTCTCCACAATTAACGCACAAAATGATGACTCTGTCTGGATTAGAAATGTAGGCAATATTTCAATGGAAACTGCCTTCCATAACCTTTTTTAATTTCCAAGAACTCCCCATTTCCCTGCTTCAGTGCTGTCCGACTCTTTGCGACCCGATGGACTGTAGCCTGCCAGGCTCCTCTGTCCATGGGGATTCTCCGGGCAAGAACACTGGAGTGGGTTGCCATGCCGTCCTCCAGGCGATATTCCTGACCCAGGGATGGAACTCAAGACTGATGTCTCCTGCATTGGCAGGTGGATTCTTTAGCACTTGCACCACCTGGGAAGCACCCCGCCCCCGCTCCACCCACCAACTCTAGTGCCTGCTCCTAAATTTCAGTCAATAAAAATGTTTTTTTTTTTTCAGAAGGCAAGGTTTAATAACAATAACTTCTTTGCCTGTGATGTGTACAGCTTGCCAAGGCCCAGGGAACAGTGGGTGATGAGAGAACCGTCCCCTATCCTGGGGGGAGGACCAGGAGCCCAATGTTTCCAGCAGCTCCATCCTGAGTTTAGGACACAGTGCAGCCAGGGGTGAGGCCCTGCGGTTGGATATCTGACCTGGGTTCAATTCTGCTTCTGTCCTTGACCGTGTACAGGGTGGCCCATGTCCTCGGTCTGAATGGACAACACGGGGCTGTCAGGAGTGGTCAGTAACGTGGCCGTCTGTGAAATGCTTAGGAAAATGCTAGCACAGAACAATCATTCAAGACAAATTGCAATTATTATTAATGAAACATCTATGAGTCCTGTAAAGGACATCATCTCTACAGAAGCCTATCTCAGGGTTAACAGGGCTTTTGGAGGTCACCAAACCCAGCTGCTGAGAAGACAGTGGAAGAATCACCTGAGAGGTTTCTGAAAGAACAGGCGCCCAGACCCAGCCACAGATGTAACAGGGTCGCTGAGGCTGGGCCCCGGAAATCTGCACTGTAACAAGGGCCCCAGACAAGTCATGATCGTTGGCCGACTGTGGAGACCACTGAGCTAGGACTCCCCGCTAACACGTGTTAGTCCCCTCATGTTTTAGAGAAAAGCACAGAACTCAGCCCGAGCAGTGGTGAAACTGGGGGAGCACAGGAGAATGAAGGAACGTGTTGACTGTCATTAGTCCAACCTGTGAGCTGAGGGGTGAGTCACTTCCTGGTGCCTTAAAAACAAACACGCTCTGGGCAGCCCCTGCGCTGTGGGACAGTTCCCAGATGGCTCAGTGGTAAAGAATCCGCCTGCCAGTGCAGGAGACCTGGGTTTCATCCTTGGGTCGGGAAGATTCCCTGGAGCAGGAAATAGCAACCCACTACAGGATTCTTGCCTAGACAATCCCAGAGACAGAGGAGCCTGGCGGGGGTCGCAAAGAGTTGGACACGACTGAATGCATGCGCGCGCGCACACATACACACACACCCCCCAGGCTAAGTCAGTGGGTACACACACACACACACACACACACGAGCTCTGAGACAGGCACCAGACTATAGCAATGAGGAAGGTTTCTTGCTGAAGGAGTGGTCATAAGGAAGGCTTTCTGGGCCAGGGGACTAGCAAGCAAAGGCCAAGAGAATCTACCGTGGTCAAGGTGGTCTGCAGGAGCGTGGGGAGAGGCAGCAGAGGGGGACACGTGACCTGGGTGAGCACGAGTGAGAAGGACTTACATGCCGAATCTAGGAGTCTGACTTCATTTTGAGGTCAGCAGGGTTTCTTAATCTTAGGTACAGTAGGGGTTTTAAGTGACCTGCAATCCCACGTCCTCCCCATCCCTGTCTGCAATGTTAGGTCTAATTTAGGTGTTTCTAGTACGTAAGCTTCTCCAGGGAGAAGGTCCACAACTTCCTGAAAGGCTCAAGAGTCCTGTGACTCAAATCCTGTTAAACACCCCTGCTCCTGTGAAGGGAGGACCGCTGCAGGCTCGAAGCAGAGACGAGGACTTGTCCATCCCCCGCGGCCCCCAAGCAGACGGGCTCAAAGGTCAAGACCTGCACTGGACCTGACACCGAGCTGCTCGACCTCCTGGGGCAGGCCCTGTGCCCTCCGTAGCCTCAGGCCCGAGGCGGGCAGAGTTCTCATCACCTCCCGGGGCAGGCGGGGCCCTGTGCCCTCCGTAGCCTCAGGCCCGAGGCGGGCAGAGTTCTCCTCACCTTCCGGGCAGGCCTGCCCTAACCCACGTGTAGGTCAGGTGGGCAAGGCCCATACCTTTCACTCCCCTCTAGCTCTCCTTCTTCTCCACCTGCTTCCTCTTCTCAGCTTCCAGCTTTTGCTGCTTTGCTTCCAGTCGTTTCCTCTGGTAGACTTTGACTCCGGCAAACGCCAGGCAGAGGATTAGTGTTTTCGCCGCCAAGATATACAGCAGCAGGGGGAAGTGTTCAAGCACCTAAAGAAGAAAGAAAACTCCTGGAGACGTTCCATCATGGTAAGGAATTTCCTTCGCGTCCCTTCACTCAGCACACATTTCCTGGGCACTGGCTGGGTGGGGGCCTCCCGGCCGCAGGAGAGATGAGGGCCCAGTTCCAGGTTGCAGGCAGCCTGGTTTCAGGTGCCCTTCACCACCCCCTGGCTGCTGGCTTCACAGACGCCATGGCTGTGCTCTCTCACAACCTGACCGTGCACCTTGCCCCTCACCCCCTGAACCTGAGGCAGCGGCACGGTCTGCAGTGAGCAGCGGGAGCCGGGGGACTGGGCGCAGCCCCGCTCGGGCCACTTGCTGACCCATGCGCAGCACGTGTGACCCGCATTGGTCACTTGGCTTTCCCCAGCTTCTGCCTCTTCACCTGCAAAGGGAGGCTGGACCAACCTTCCTTCTGAATCTCCACCCTTATGGGATGCTATGATTGGCTCCAACTACGCATTAGCACTGGTATTTGAAGGCAAAATAAATATACAAGTAAAATGCAGCAAAACTTAAAATGTTAAAGCTTAGCTACTTAATACACTGTTTCTGTAATTCTTTTCTTGGAGCAAAGTTTTAACCCATTGGCAAATACGAGATCTGGGGAATAACTGGGGATTGGAATTACTCACCTTTTGCATGAGCAGTCTTTATTATGAAATTCTATACATCACAAGTATCTCAAGGCAAATAGTATAGTAGTTTGGGAAACACGATTAGTAGGACCTGAATAATAATTATGAGCTTTTGTGTGTGATTAAAAATTCCTTCCCAGATAAAGTGAAAAGGTACGCTTTCATTGAGAGAGATCATTATTCCGGAGGACCAAGCAGGATTAGTCCAGTGAACTCCTCAGGTGAAATGCCAACCATCACTTAATTACACAGAGCACTGGGACAAGGAGATTCTTCCATGGAGACTACACACGTCCCTCCCTCTGATGGTTTAAATGAAGTTGATCTGAAACGGGTTAATGAAAACTTCAGCTGCGAAAGGATCTGAATGAAGACTCGGTCTTCACCTCGTTCTACAAAGGAGGAGAGTAAAAAGCTCAGGGCGGTGGTGAGCCCGCCGCGTCACACGGCTCATTCAGGCGGAGTGAGAGCTGGAACCGAACACTCTGACTCCTGCGTCAGCCGTCTTTCCACTGACTCTTGATTTCAATGAAGTGGAATTAACTGAAATCAACAAATTATGTCCCAAGAACACTCTGAATAACTAGACAACAGTTTTCAACCACAGAATCAGGTTAAACAGTAAAGAATAAGCCCAATCTATACACTTCAGAAAGCTCACTCTGGCAAACAGCGTAAAAGACTAAAAAGGTTACAAAAGCAAAAACCTTTTACCCTGATAAACACAAGCTGCTTAGAACATTGACTTGGTGTCCAGGTCCTTCCTGCCTCAGACCTATGGCTAATCTCCCTGACTTCCACCCAACAACCCTCTAACTCATCTAATTCATCTATTTTCTTGAAGGGTCACATCTTAGAGGTGAGGCTTGGCTCTACATTCATAAGCCAGCTAAGAAAGAAAAGATGCTAACTTTTACCTCCTTGGAGACAAAAATCACCAGTTTGGAGATATAAACTTCATTTTGCGTTCACTGGGCCTTTTCCAGGTTGAGCCCTAGTTAGCCCTAGATGCTGGCAAGTCTCTCCCTCCCAATTCTCTCCGTCCCTATGGATGAGCCCCTGGAGTCCTGTCATAATCAAACCCCTATCACAGCCCACAGTTCATGCATGAGTGCCGAGTTGCTTCAGTCGTGTCCAACTCTTTGAGACCCCAAGGACTGTAGCCCACCAGGTTCCTCTGGTCATGGGATTCTCCGGGCAAGAAGACTGGAGTGGGTTGTCATACCCTTCTCCAGGGGAATCTTCCAGACCCAGGGATCAAACCTGCATCTTTTGTGTCTCCTGCACTGGCAGGCAGGTTCTTGACCACTAGTGCCACCCAGGGAAGCCCAGCCCACTATTTTCCAGGATCTACACCCAAACGAAGCTCTAGCAGTGACAGGATGTACATGGAGACCAGAAGCCAGAAACCCAGGAAATGGAAGCACGTCAACAAACAAACCCAGGGAAGTGGTTTCAGTATTCACTTTCTTTTTAAAGGCTGCGGGGAGGAGGCGGCAAGAGGTGGAAGTTTCGGGACTGAGAGTGGGCAGCGCAGGGGGAGTCAAGGATGCTACACGGGCTACAGCGAAAACTTTCAGGGCCACAGTTCCCACAACTTTCTCAGGCAGGTGTGCTAGATCTTTCAGTTCAGTTCAGTTCAGTCGCTCAGTCATGTCCGACTCTGTGACCCCATGAACTGCAGCACTCCAGGCCTCCCTGTCCATCACCAACTCACGGAGTCCACCCAAACTCATGTCCATTGAGTCAGTGATGCCATCCAACCATCTCATCCTCTGTCATCCCCTTCTCCTCCCACCTTCAATCTTTCCCAGCATCAGGGTCTTTTCCAATGAGTCAACTCTTCACATCAGGTGGCCAAAGTACTGGAGATTCAGCTTCAGCATCAGTCCTTCCAATGAATATTCAGGACTGATTTCCTTTAGGAGGGACTCATTGGATCTCCTTGCTGTCCAAGGGACTCTCAAGAGCCTTCTCCAACACCACAGTTCAAAAGCATCAATTGTTCAGTGCTCAGCTTTCTTTATAGTCCAACTCTCACATCCATACATGACCACTGGAAAAACCATAGCCTTGATTAGATGGACCTTTGTTTACAAAGTAATGTCTCTGCTTGTTAACATGCTGTCTAGGCTGGTCATAACTTTCCTTCCAAGGAGTAAGTGTCTTTTAATTTCATGGCTGCAGTCACCATTTGCAGTGATTTTGTTTTTTTTGTATTTATATATTTTATTTAGGTATCACAGTTTCAATAGTATTCATTACACCTTCTCAAATATTTTTCTTCCCTTTATTTTTATTAGTTGGAGGCTAATTACTTTACATCATTGCAGTGGTTTTTGTCATACACTGAAATGAATTAGCCATGGATTTACATGTATTCCCCATCTCGGTCCCCCCTCCCACCTCCCTCTCCACCCGATCCCTCTGGTGCAGTGATTTTGGAACCCAGAAAAATAAAGTCAGCTACTGTTTCCCCATCCATTGTTGCCATGAAGTGATGGGACCAGATGCCACGATCTTAGTTTTTAGTCATATGAGCTCTCTTCCTTTGATTTCCCTTCTAACAAAACCCTCAGATTAACTCCCAAACCTTCAGGGAAGTAAATCAAGAAAACATAGTTGGGTGGTCTAGCTCTATATCAGTTTTTTTAAACAAATGCCGATACTCATGTAATGAGAATGACTGACGTTTTAAATTTATTGTTGGCCACACCCTGCAGCATATGGGATCTTAGTTCCCTGACCATCGATCAGACCCCTGCCCCCTGTATTGGGAGCTCGGAGTCTTAACCACCGAACCACCAGGGAAGTCCCGAGAATGACTTACATTTTCAATGCCCCCAGTTGCTGAGATACTAAGGTATTAAGTGCTTGCTGTCGCTGACTGTTGCTCATGGCCACAGGCTGATGGAGGTAGACAGGGAAGCACAGGATGTCTTGGGGGTCCCACGGTCCTTTAACTCCCTGTGGGGGGCGGGGGGGGTCACTGCAGTGTGGGCAGAAGGCCATTCCTTTCAGACATTACCTGGAAGGGCTCCCTGGTAGCCCTGGAGCTGTGTGTCTGCCTGAAGGTCGCGAAGGTACAGGTGGTTTTTGTACAGTTTTCTGTACAAAACTATGTTCCTGACATAGGAGAGGACTCCTGTGACATGTCGAGTTGGCCTTGGCAGTCAAGTGGGTTGCTGTCACTCCACAACTAAAAAGAAAGCTTTCTCTGTGCAATGGCTCACTGGGATACATCAGCACCACCTGGGAACTCTTTCACCCCCAGGCCAACGCGATCAAACTCCGGTGGGTGGGGCCACAGTTCACATTTTAACTCCTCACGGTAGCTGTGAGGCTCGCTCTGGCCTCGGAGCACCCAGCACACACACTGGACCTGCTGCCATGGCCTCTGGTACCAGCCACCGCCCCGCCCTCAGCCACTCACTCTAGGCTCTGCCGATGCTGGGCCTCTGGTACCAGCCACCGCCCCACCACCAACTGCTCACTCCAGGCTCTGCCGATGCTGGGCCTCTGGTACCAGCTACCACCCCGCTGTCAGCCACTCACTCCAGGCTCTGCCGATGCTGCAAACCCTTCACCACGTCTCAGGGCATACTGCGCCCAGCCCCCATCCCCATGACCTCTCATCACCCCCACCCCCCCGTCTTTCCTTCCTGGCCTTTCTACAGGCAGCTCTGGAAAGCCCCACATGTGTGACATGCATGTTCCTACATCTCTAAGCCCTCAAAGAGTCTTCACTCCACCTCCTGACCCTTGGCCAGGCTCCTCCTCCTGGAGAAGAGTCCCCAGAGACCCCCTGCACGGCCCCCAGGCCCCACAGGGCTAGGGAAGGAGGGGGTCCAAAGTTAAGCACTGAAGAATCGATGCTTTTGAACTGTGGTCTTAGAGAAGACTCTTGAGAGTCGCTTGGACTGCAAAGAGATCCAACCAGTCCATCCTAAAGGAGATCAATCCTGGGTGTTCATTGGAAGGACTAATGCTGAAGCTGAAACTCCGATACTTTGACTACCTGATGCGAAGAACTGACTCATTTGAAAAGACCCTGATGCTGGGAAAGATTGAAGGGGGAGGAGAAGGGGATAACAGAAGATGAGACGGTTGGATGGCCTCATGGACTCAATGGACATGAGTTTGGGTGGACTCCGTGAGTTGGTGATGGACAGGGAGGCCTGGAGTGCTGCAGTTCATGGGGTCACAAAGAGTCGGACACAACTGAGTGACTGAACTGAACTGTACTCTCCCGGCTCCCTGATCCTGCTTCCAAATCTTTCCACTTCCTGTGAGGAAAGCCAGTGGCTGTTTCAAACCAGAAAATTCTTATAACTGAAAAAAATACATATAATGAGATCCTAAGCTTGGAGATATACACATTACAAACATATATAGAAAAAACATGTGAATAAAATACACCAAATTGTTAGTATTAATAGCAGCCATCTCTGGATAGTGAAAAGATATATGATTTTGACTTGATTCGATCCTTTTCAAAGCATCTATTTTCATGACCGCCCTAGGAGCCACCCTGTACCTACCTCACTCCACTTTCTTAAAGGGGGTAACATGACACCCCCCTGCCCCGGTGAGGCCCGCTGACTGTGGCCCACAGCCTTCTGCAGGCTTGCAGCTCACAGGACACTCTTTGGTTGCCCTTGAACTTCTGCTTCCACCAGCTGTATCAAAGGTTTTACAGGAGTCAGCTGTGTTTATTCCACAGTCAGTATATTTAAGTAGCACTTGATGTCATAATGGATAATCTATTTAAACATGGCACTCATGAAATATGACCACAGAAAGGAAAGGCTGTTTCCATGAAAACTAAGCTGTCTGTTTTGAAAGACTCAATTTGAATTAGAAAACAAAATACTGTTGGCAACACAAATGGGAAAGATTAAGGAAGAAGAGCATAAAAATCAGGAGAAAGCAAACCCACAAGCCATAAATGTCTGATGATATTCTTACCTTCCAGTTCATGCTGGACCAACTGGGAGTTCACTCCTGGTCGAGTGGGCCACACAGATAAGGAGGAGAGGGAACCCAGTTGGAGCAGGTCCCACTGTTCTGATGGGGAAGAGAAGAAACAGGTTAATTTGAGTTTTCCAGATAGACTGCCTTAAGCAGATTTCTCTGTGATGGGGAGAAAGGCCCACAAGCCAAGACAGCAAGCTCTGCAGAGATGAGGGTTAGGCCTCCCCAGCGAGTGAGACAGCCTCGGCTCTTGCTGAGCAGAACAATCTCCTTGGCTGCTCTTGACTGCGAAGGAAGCACAGCCAAGCAGAGGTGTTGGCCCCACTCCTAAGGGAAAGCATGCTCCCACTCCATTCATCTGTGGCCAAAGGTGCCCAGGCCCTAATCTGACCCTCTCCCCACCTCCTGCCCTGAACAAGAGTCTGTGGTGGGGGTATCATTTTATGTCTCAGGTCCTGAGCATTAATTAAAGGAATACTGTCTTGCTTTAGTGTTCATTTATTAATTTATTTATAAATCGGGCTGTGTTGGGGTTTAGATGTGGCATGTGGGATCTTCTACTGTGGCTCTCGGCTTGCAGCAGAGGTGCATGGCTTAGCTGCCACATAGCGCGTGCATCTTAGGTCCCTGACGGGGACTGAACCTGTGTCCCTGTGTTGGAAGATGGACTCTTAACCACTGGAACACCAGCGAAGCCTCAAGGGAATATTGGTTTTCAAAAGTATCTGGTGGGAAGGGAATCAAGGATGGGGGAAAATGGTATTAAGAAAGTCATTCCAATCTTAGAATTCCCTCTAAAACGTCAGTGGGATGGAGGGGAAGGTGAAGCGGAAGAGACAAGGCAGGAACCCAGACGGGGCACAGGATTTGCTCTGAGGCCTCCCACGTCACTATCTTTAGACCAGGACACATACCCCACGAGTCAGAAGACTTGAGCTCTGGATGAAGGGCCTACTCGCTCTGGTAAGTGACCCCCCTCTGGGGGCCTCCGTCCCATCTGTAAATGAAGACAGGGAGTGTCAACCACATGGGCTCCGGGGGCCTCTACTTCTGCAATTCAGAGACTTTCAGCATTAAGAATCACAGCTTCTCTTTACTGTGCCCAGCCATGCTAAAGTGCACTGCATGCCAATAGCTCAGCTAGTCTTTACACCTGTCCCAAGAGGTGTAGTTTATCGTCTGTACTTTGTAATGTGTGTGTGCACGCGTGTGCACTCAGTCGTGTCCAACTCTTTTGGCAGCCCCATGGACTCCTCTGTCCACGGGATTCTCCAGGCAAGTACACTGGAGTGGGTTGCCATGTCCTCCTCCAGGGGACCTTCCCGACCCAGGGACTGAACCTGCATCTCAGGTCTCCTGCACTGGCAGGCGGGTTCTTCACTAGAGCCAGTTTACATGACAGTGACACGTCCACAGTCACAGTATGGACTGGGATTGTAATCATCCAGTCTGGCCCCAGGGTCTGATCCTAATGCAGAGAGCTCTGCATTAAAAAAATCATGGGGATGCCTTTCTTTAAATGGACTTACAATTAGGATTAAGAAAAACTCACAGGCCTTTAGAATGGGAAAAATGAGATAAACTTCAGACATGTTTTTCTGAAAACTTTCACTTAACAAAGCATCTAAACATAAAAAGTTCAGACCTCCTTCACATCCAAGGTCATAGTATCTTGAACACAAGCGGGCAGTTGGCACAAGATAGCCAAGCTTTCCCCATGACTTTTTCAAAGTCAGATAAGCTCATGACAGGAATTTACACCATAAGTCTGTTTAAACGAGATGACCATGATTGAAGGCACTCATTGTGCTAGGTCGCTCAGTCGTGTCCGACTCTTTTCGACCCCATGGACTGTAGCCCACCAGTCTCCTCTGTCCATGGAATTCTCCAGGCAAGAACACTAGAGTGGGTTGTCATGCGCTCCTCCAGGAGATCTTCCCAATCCAAGGTTCAAACCCAGGTCTGCCACATTGCAGGTGGATTCTTCACCTTCTAAGCCACCAGGGAAGGCCGAAGGTGCTCATTACCTTCGTGTATGAAAGATTTCTTTGTCTATAAGGAGCAGTAGATTCTGACCTGCCCGGGAGAAATAAGTTCCTAACAGGTTACAACCTGTTGCTGGAATTTTCACTTTGAATAATCTCTGATAATCTCAGGAATGAGCCATGTTGTAAATTAAAATGTCTATGCTGGGAAAGATTGAAGGCGGGAGGAGAAGGGGATGACAGAGGATGAGATGGTTGGATGGCATCACCGACTCGATGGACATGAGTTTTGAGTAAACTCAGGGAGCTGGTGAAGGACAGGGAAGCCTGGCGTGCTGTGGCCCATGGAATCTAAAAGAGTCGGACACGACTGAGCAACTGAACTGAAGGTTGTATCAATTTTATTTTTCTCACCTCTATTTTTATTGAGTTGTCTACATATATAAGTAGACAGGTTTGGCTGTTTCCCACACATTTTCCGAGACCAAATGACTCACTTAGTGAAGTCAGTTAGATATTAATTTCCAAGGTCAAGGACCACAAAAAAGTCCAAAAAAAACTTATAGGAGGAAGTAAAAAGAATGCCTGGTGGTCTGGCCCTCTGGCAATCATGTGCTAAGTTTACCAGTGGTATGACCTTGGATGAGTCACTGGGCCTCTCTAAACCTCAGCTCCCTACTCTGTAAATTCTCCTTCAAAGACTAGATTATAAAACATTAAGCACCAGCTCAGCACATGAAAAGCACTACACAAATACCAACCATAATTGTTATGATAAACGTCTTTCCAGTAATGGACATGGTAAGCTGAAGAACATAAGCAAGTGATGGCCAGGGCAAATGAGACAGCAGGGCATGGGATAAAGAACCAACCCCAGATGACCAGAACTGGAGATCTAGACTCTATGCTTGGGGGCGCCAATGACAAGGCATCTGACCCGGGGGCAATCCATTAGCCTCTCTAAGCCAAAGTGTTACCATTTTAAAAATCCAAAGAACAATGCTGCAACTCTGAAATTCCTAAGTCACATTCTCTCTGATATCACAGCATCTAACTGTAAAAAAATTACTGGCGGCTGCCTAGTTGTATCTAGAGTGACAAAATTCCATCTCTTCAGGAAAGAAACACATTTAAAAGTCCATCTGCAAAGGAGTGTGTTGAGGGTGGGAGAGAGGGCAAATTAATCAAACTCCTTTCCACCCACTGCCTCCAAATGATAACTCTTCCCAATCTCCCTTAAATTACAGGCTGCAACTCAGCTATTTTTGCAGCTCCCTGCAGGACTTCAGCAAGTGAGAACAACTGAGACAGCTAAAAATATCAGCAGGCTAGTTGCTCGGCTGCCACATGTACACCTGATGCAGTCTTGGAACCAGGAGGCAGCTGGTGTCTGAGGGCTAAACTACAAAAGCCAACCAGAAGGGGACAGTTTTGAGAGACATAAAATCTACAAAGTGCAGGAAGTTTTAAACTTTCCCTGGAACTATCCAGTCTTAGCTTTAAACTCAAAGATAACAATGGCTTAGAAAGAGATGGTTCTATTTCCTTTACTGCAAAAATATCCTGATTTTTCCTTTGCTACATTTCTCCTAAAGAAAACAGAAAAGCTACTGGCTTATCTTGATTAGGCTAATTACAGCAATATGGCCAAGGTATAGTCCACAATTCTATTCTTGGTCCACCTAACAGACCCAAGGGTCGGTCCCTCTCTTGGTGTCTCACTCCAGCCATTCGCTAGGCTGTGTCCTTAATCTGAACTTCCCGAAATTGCTCTCATTCCTAGCCTCTTTCCACCCCAACCCTTCACCCCATCATTTGAAGTAGCGATGGGTGCGTGGAGGAAGTGGGGGTGGGGGTCCAGATGAAGTGGTGGTTATCAGTTGGGCTGACTTCTGAGCCCCACGCCGGGGTCGGCCAGAGTTCCCAGGGCGAGGGGCTGGGCCTCAGCCCCTCCGTGACTTGGAGGGCCAGGTAAAAGTCCTCTCCAGCCCCGACACTGGTGTGGGGGGCAAAAGCTGCCCCGCTCAGGCCCGAAGATGACGGTCCAGGGAGACCACCGCTTACCCCACCTACACAACAGAGCGTCTGAGACATTCGCTGACCCCCAAACCTCTCTCGCTTGGAACCACATCTGGGTACCCCCCTTCGGCCTGCGTGCCAGCCTCCACACGCCGCGCCCCGCAACCCCTGCCACTGGATCCGTGCATTTTGGGATGCCTGGACAACCCAGCCAGGCCGGACGCTCCGCGGGGGTGGGCCGTGGTGGCTGTCACCACCACGGTCCCGCTGGACAGAGTCATGGAGAGAAAGCGCGAACACGATGCCTGCTCGCCCCCCAAAGAGCAGCGGGGTTTCGGGTCAGGATCCGGCGGACACCGACGCCGCCCACTTACAGCTCCAGGCCGCGGAGGGTCCAGCTCCGGGGCCGTGCACAAACCACGACTCCCACAGTGCCGCGGGGAAACTAGACGTCCCGAAATGCACCGCTCCGCGCGTCGGCGCAGGGAGCCTGCACCGCCATAGTGGGTAGGCGGGGCCGCACACAAACCACGACTCCCACAGTGCCGCGGGGAAACTAGACGTCCCGAAATGCACCGCTCCGCCCGCCGGCGCCGGGAGCCTGCGCTGCTATGGCGGGTAGGTGGCTCCCCCGGCTTAGTGAGCCCGGGCAGCCGAGACGATTTCCAGCTTCTGGAACCCGCGGTATGGGCCCGGGCGGCCTTCGTGCGGCCGCGACATGGGTCACCGGACAGACTTGGCTGGGCCAGGGGCGAACTTCTGGGGCGTGGGCCAGGCGTTTTCGTCCACGCCGTGGGCGGGGGGGGGGGGGGGGGGAGGGTGGGACGGTCTTGTTCTTCCCTGACCGGAGCTGGAGGAGGAAGACGGCGGCGGGAGGGCGGGACTTCGCGGGGCCCCTACCCCTCAGCAGTCTCTCATCCCTGGGTGTTCCTCACTGTGTGCCGCTGAGGGCAAGAGGGTCCCCAGTTGAGTCGCTCAGTGGTGTCCGACTCTTTGCGATCC